CACACACACACACACACACACACACACACACACACACACACACACACTAGCTGGCACTGACACATGTTTACACACAGCAACACATTGACACACACAGCCCTAAATTTTCCAAAAGATCTGCAACAGGAGAGGAGAGTGGAGCAGAGTGCATGAATGGACAGATTAATCAGATTATAGCAGAGACACACTTAAACAGGCTGTTCTCTGGATTAGCCACGGTCCTGCCTACGCCCTGTCACAATGAAAAGTATGAGGAGACCGAGGGGACAGGTCATTACTCAAAGCTAATATTTAGATTTCGTAAAAAGAATATTTCCAAACATATTCTTTATTGTACATCTTGTGTTTGGCTCCAACAGTGGCTCTGAACAGGACATTATCAATGATGGTGCAAGGTGTGGATCTTAAAGAACTCTGATGTTTAAAACATTCAGATTAGGGTTGAAGGATGAGATTAAAAACAGAAGCAAGCCTGCATGAATGTAGGAGCGATCGTACGTTTTTGATCATGACGAAGTTTCAGTTTCCACCCTCAGAAGTTAGAAGCCCTCTGGTCTTTATGTGCAGCAGAGCAGCATATGGCAGCCAGTGACCACGGCTTTGTCTGACTATTGACACCAGAGAGATGCTGAGAGGGAGGACGCGAGTGTGTGCAACTGTTCGGGGGCCGGAGGACAGCCTAACGACAACAAAGGGCCAGCTTTAAGCCTGTCTCCTGTGATTTTCCAACTCAGCGAAAAACTATTGTGGCACTGAAAAAAGTTAAGTTAAAAAGCTTAGCATGGTATGTGCTAACAACTGCCTGCTGCTTGTGTAATACAAGCAAATACTTTTTGAGCAGCGACAGTCGCAGTCTTTGGAAGGGCAACCGTCATCGTGTCTACAGCCGTTAGGCAGGTCACTGCTTTGATCCGGTCCTTTCTAAAGCCTGGCGAGATGCAACAGATACTTTAGTTGCACGCAGTGGTAATCCATACTGGATATTTTTATTTTAATATGGGAAAATACCAAGGATAATACATCTTAACATACATTATATTAAAGCTTAAATATGAGTCATCATATCAAACTGAAGATTAAGTCAAATTTGGTCAAAAGGACATAAAAACATTTTCAGATTCCTGTTTTTTAAACTACATTTTGATACCAGGATCATCCTGATATGATGAGCGGTTCCAGAGATATGGTTTGATTTGTCTTCCTAATCACGATGACACTTGCTCTGAATCCTACTTTTTAGGTTTTAGTTTCTAATGAAGARTTTTTAAAGAGGAAACCTTCAAACCTTTTTTGAATTATGTTTTTTAGCTGCTCTTCAAACAAGAGCTTCAAAATTTTATTTGGGGAGTGTGGGGGGGGGGGTATCACGTAGGTCAGTTCTATACCACAGTCAAGTATGTTACCTTCAGTTGTCACAAAAAAAAGCTGTATATAGGAAAAATAAATTAGACTTTGCATCATAGCTCATTTAAATGCTTTGAAATGGGCCTCTGTCTCTTTAAGAACTTCCTACCGTTTCCAACACTCCCACTTCAGCACATCATCACAACAGTGCTTCATGCCGTTTACAACCTTAGGAGCGTTGYATTTTGTTGTGAAAAAAATAAGCAACATCATATAATATCAGTTTTGGATGTTAACTTTCTGAATGGCAGGAGATTCAAGGATTTCTCAAACATGTATGAATGGATCAAAGCAACACTCTGGATATGTTTTTAATGAGAGAATGACATTATAACATAACACCCCCCCCCCCTTAAGTTTACATTTGAGATATTTCATTTACATTACCCATAGATAAGGTATTTCTTTATTAGAATTTGACAAAATTTAATTGTTGCAAATGTTTTAATCAGTACATTGCTACCCATATCTCCACTTTGTGACTTAATCCCGTGAGCAGTGATGGGTCACATTTTAGCATCAACAAAATGATTCCTAAAGAGCTACAAGCTGCAAACGTACAGTAGATGATCTCTCAGCTTCTGTTTTAATTCTTTGTTGAATATCCAAGTACTGCTCATTGGCCATTTGACACATCGGCTGTCATCCAATTATCTCAATATGTCATGGTCTCTATGAGTTATTTCATTCTCRTCGTCTTGTGTTTTAGTGTTTTMCGTTCTTATTTCCTGGATCACTTATTAATTTGCCCTCAGTCAGCCTCTCACACCTGTTGTCACTTCTAATCAGCTCAGCTGGCTGTCATGTTTCAGTTCTAGCTCCATATATTCAGTCTCAGTGATCCTTGAGTTCCTTGTAGTGTCTGCACCCTGGCTCCAATCATCCAGCAGCTCCTACACAATGTGCTGTCCTGGTCCGCTACCAAGACTGGACAGAAAATAAGCTTAAAAATTACAAGAAAACATTGGTTTACTGGAAGCAAAATATAAAAAGAGGACTGTTTTTAATAGGTTTTCAGTGCAGTGAAGTTGTGGTTTTGCAGACCAGCCAAAATTACTATTATTGACACTGTCATAACATGTTGTTGTGAAAAGAATGGAAAAAAGAGAGTGATTCTGTAAGAGACCTGCTATTAGGGTGGTCCGAGATGCAACCCAAAGCCCCAGTTGTTTTGGCAAAGAACTGCAGGAGGACTTTGGAGAGGTGGTGCAATGTTTTACCGTGCAGTGACACCTGCATGGACATGAGTTTCAGGGAAGTGTCATAAGAAAAAAAAACTATAATGTGTTCTCACTACAAAACTTAGCAAATAACCTTCTGGGCAACATGGAAATAAATATCATTATCTGATGAAATGACACATATTTTAAGTTGCAGTAAGAGTTTACCTTTGTGAAGACGGGTTGATCACATTTTGCTGAAGTTTGTGGTACAGAAAACAAATCCCTGGTAGAAGAGAAAATATTTAAATATTAGTACTTCTACAGCATTATACTAAAATGACTAAAAGAGAGTACAGCTTGGTGAAACTAAAATGTTAAAACACTTGCGAATTTAGGTGATTGCAGCATAAACCAATAAACTGGATTTATTATTTATTTGATTAAAAATGTGATCATTCTTTAAGTGATGTTCTGTAAACCAGTGTTTTTCAGCCCTGGTCCTCAAGGCACACTGCCCTGCACCTTTTAGAGGTTTTCCTAGTTTGACACACCTGATTCAGATCACTGCAGTTCAACAAAAGCCTGTTAATCAGTTATCAATTGAAATCAGCTGTGTTGAAGCAAGGAAACACCTCTTGAGGACCAGGGTTGAAAAACACTGGGTAGGAAAATAGAAGATGTTCGGTTAATAAAACTGCAACTTATGTTGGGCTTCATTTGAATTTAAACGATTACGGTTTCCAGTGATTCCCGATTCTGATTCTTTTTAGAAGCAGGGTAAAAAAAACTATGATTTAAATAATTAAATTATTTGTTTTGAAACTGTGAGCTTGWGTGCTAATTGCGCAAGTTGCCGAAGTAAAAATTGTCATATGGCTTTGTAAGTTCATGACTGACTAGTTTTACTGGTTGAATTTAATGTCATCATGCTAGTTTGTGACCAGTAAGTCTTGACGTTGTTGTGAAGACTGAATTTAATATTAGACCACCCTTGTGAGGACATTTTGCCTGGTCCAACACAATTTTTAGGTTTGCTTTTACGGTAAAGGGTCAGGGTTAGACCAAAGATAGTAAAGCCTTGTGTGTGTGTGTGTGTGTGTGTGTGTGTGTGTGTGTGTGTGTGTGTGTGTGTGTGTGTGTGTTAGTGTACTGAAATGTCGACACTTAATACAGTTTATCCTTTCTAATCGTTGTAAAGTCCTAATCATCTGTCATCCAATTTCTCTGTCTGGCTAGAGTGTGTTGATACAAGAATGTAAACCAGATGAGTTTCTTTGAAGATCATTTCTATGCTCTCAGTGGTCGCTAAATAATACACACACACACACACACACACACACACACACACACACACACACACACACACACACACACACGCAGAGCACAGTCAGGCAGGGGCAACTGGGACTAAATCCAGACTGGTGGTTTCTTCCTCCAGCTATAAATACCCCCTCCGCTTAAACAAGATCACACACACATGAACTCACACTCAAATAAAGAGGCTCATAGAAGAAAAAAAAAGATTCATTCACAAACACATGGGGGCACAGACACACACACTTGGACTCACACACTCAAACACAAATCCACACGCAGAAACGACTCTGGCCTCAGAGGAGGCTCKCTAAGCGTTCTATGATTATGGGGTGTGTCTTTGTCTCATTTAGTGGTTCCACGAGGAGACAGTCTTCTGCTGTGTCAGACAGACACACACACACGTACACACATGCAAACACCACTCATATATAATCATTCAGTGACAACAAATATCTGTTTAAATTGGTTTGACAGCATTTTTAGAACAAGTCTATTCTATCCATTAAAAATATGTAAATACAATAAACACCAAATGTGGTAGATTTCATTTATCTTTTATTTTGGAAAAATATTTTTTTCCAGTAATAAAAATGACAGGCTTTGTACATACAACTTTTCTCTTTAAATACAACACAGTCACAGTGGTCTCAAGTGCCTAACACATACATGCTCGCATACATACGTCACCTTCCAAATAAAAAAACAACTTAAATTATAACAGACTTAACAAGAACAACACAATAAAAATGTAGCACAAATAATTACATCATTAAATTAAAAGAATAACCTCTTTAGATAACAAATAACATTAAAAAAAGGGAACATCTTAACCAAAGGATGGCAGGGCGACGGTGTTCTTGAATCGGCTAATTGTGGAAGACTGCAGGTGTGGGCAGTGCATATAAGCATTACGTCCTCTGTACACACACATTCACACAAACACACACACCTCTATAGTGCAATGAGGTCTTGGCAGTTAAGACTTTTAGAGCTTGGTCTTCTTGGTCAAACAACAGCATCATCAGGAGGTCAGGAAATAAAAACAAAACGGTCAGTTTTGAAGCAAAACCATATTAAACTGACTGAAATGTACAGAACATTCATAACACATGATTTAAAAATAAAATCCCATTTTTGTTTTGTTTGATTTTATTTATTCAATTTTTTTAGTGTTCTAATGCCGAAAGTGTTTCTTAGGATGCTCTGCCCAAACCATCGCCCTGTTCATCCCAACTCTCAGAGGCCAGTATGGCCCAACAGAATCCACGTTGGATCAATCTGCAGTCACTACTGGAGTTTTCAGTTCTCTGTTTCCTGCTGAGAACCAGCTCAGCCAACTTTGCCAGTGCTGTAGAGTTAAAGGTGGATTAAAACAGTTAGTAGTCTTGTCAGAAAAGCTCCACGTGACATTTTGTTGAGTGATTTGGTGAGGGTTACAGCTCCACAACTCTACTCTGCAGCACTGCGCAGAACATAAAACGTTTGAAATCCATGACAGATTTTTTTTTACACAACACAGTACTACAGCAGTACTTTAAGGGGTTTTTCGGCATCCTGAAGGTACTACACTGTTCGTTCAGTTGGCACGCTAACCGTACGCAACAATGTCATCGGTCAACATCCAAGCCATAGCTCCGCTGCTTATCAGGAGAGAACACTTCATCCTGTTATGAGCCGTAAATCTTCCAGCGCCACAAGAGACGTTCAGTGAGCTCTTCATCAGTTCTCCAGCAGTCTTTGACTGAATGAGCTCTAGGTCAGTGCTGTTTCTGTACAATGACAGTGCGAGAGCAAGCACTTTGTTGCGATGCTTCATCCATAGCATGATCAACAGATCTACATCCATCGAAGGTCAAAAGTATTTTAGAGTTGACCCGTATTAATGTAGTCATCACTGAGCAAAACACTGACTCTACAGTGGCTCATCAGCACCTTGGCTCAAGGTCCTCTGGGAACTTCCAGGGAAGAGCAGCAAACAGCAGGAGTAAAACCTCCCAGAAACAAACTGAGCTCTACTGCTCAGGGGTTGGTGTGCGTAAATCGCCATCAGCCACGAAAAACTGGTATCATACCTGTAAGACAGACCACACAAACAAAACAATTAGGTAAAGTTTACAATCTTCTTATACAAATGCTGGTAGAAGTTCATGTCTAAGGAACCATTGAGCAGGTAAATACCTCTGTGGCAATGATACATTCGTCTTTCTGGTCTGAAATGACATAGACGGACTGGTATTTGGTGTCTGCTGTACACAGGTACCGGCTGTCGTTGGCACTGTGGTATTCACAATCAGTGCTTGACTGGCATTTGACGTCACAAGTTGTCTGGTACTGAGAATCACTCTCTGCAGGAGGGTTTAATTCAGTGGATGGTTGATGTTTTGCTTCACTGTAGCTTGGTGACTCTGCTGATGGCTTTAGTTCTGATGCGTCACTGAAGGATAAACAACAAGATTTAGAGACACTACACCTCACACAACACAGGCTTTTATTGAATTATGGCTACAAAATGCAACATGTTCCAATATTATGTCCATATTTAGATATGTGTACCTGTTTTGTCGCTTCCTGAACACTTCGTCTGTTTTGGACTCATCCAGGATGTCACATTTGGCCTCCGGCTCGTGATGCTCTTCTTCTGTACAAGTTAGCAGCTCCTCAGGCCGGATCTCATGAACCAGGTTGTACTCAATGCTGGAGTAGCGAGCCTTAAAGCCATTTTTTTCTGATCCGTTGAGGCTGCCAATGCCGCTCAGACCACCGAGTGACCCCGTAAGTTCTGAATGGTAATCTGCCTTCTTGTTGGTGTTTTTGACTGATGCTGTCATCATACCGCCCAGTTCTTTGTCACTCCGGAGGCAGTTGTTGGTTGTGAGGTTATTCATGGTCTCTTGGCTGTCGCTGTGCACACTATCGCTGTGGTGACTGTGGCGGTCTTGCAGTTTGACTCGGACGTAGACCACCAGCACAGAGCAGCTGATCAGAATCACGAGTGCAAGGAAGACGCCGGCACACACGGCCGTCCAAGGAAACCCGCCTTCATCGTCCCTGTCTTCTTCAGCGTTTCCATTTTCTGATGACAAAAAATGGCGATCTGTCCCATCCACAACAGGATGGGAACCCCGGGGGATCTCTGGTAAGAGGAACTGGCAGTTGTGACCTCCATAACCAGGCACGCAAGCGCATATGTAGCGGCTGCCGCGTTCGTGACAGGTGGCGCCGTTGTGGCAGGGGTTGTGGTGGCAGCGGAGGATAGGGGTGCTGCAGTTTTTGCCAGTATAACCTGCAAATAAAGTGGAGATTTAGAGTCTCAAAGGCACGTAATGCCTAAAGCAACAATGAAACATCTTTTGAAAGCTGTCATACCTGGAGGGCAAGTACATTTGTAGCCATTCACTCCCTCCTGACAAGTCCCACCATTCTGACAAGGGAAGAACTGACAGTATCCAGAAAAACCAGTGATGACCTCACAGTTAGGACCTGAAAATCCTTCAGGGCACTCACAGAGGTAGGAGTTCACGAGGTCAACGCACTCTGCTCCTGCAGGGAGATAAAGCCAAATAATTATTCTTACTGTATTTTAAAACACCAGGTGTGGGTTTATTGGTGAGTTTACAAACAATAGAGGGCGTACCATTTAAACATGGATTTGAAGTGCAGTGGTCAATTTTCTTCTCACAGTTGAAACCAGCATATCCCATTGAGCACTGGCAAAAATAGCCACCTTCGGGATTATCCACACAACGTCCGCTGTTGAGACAAGGCCCGTCTGCGCATGTATTGGCACTTAACTCACAGTTGTTGCCATAAAAACCAGGTGGGCAAGTACACTTGTAGCCGTTATCATCGTCCTGCATTGACCACATTACAAATAGCAGTTACAGACATGCATGTCACGGTCAGACCTAAAAACCACTCTTCACTTGAAGTGATACTCACAATGCAGCTGCCTCCATTGCGACATGGATTTCCGGAACATTCGCTGACTTGGATTTCACAGTTGGCACCTGTGTATCCAGGTGGACAAGAGCAGGTGTAGCTCCCCTGGCCAGTGTTGGTGCAGGTGGCTCCATTAAGGCAGGGTTTATGGTGTGTGCAGTAGTTCAGATCTGTGACGATGAYGTTTAATGAGTAAAATGGTTTTGATGTGAAGCAATGACTGCGACTTATGGTTCAACCTCGTAGTAAATCTGTGAGTAAAATCTCACCTTGGTTGCAAAAGAGGCCGCCCCAGCCCTCCTGGCAGTTACACTGCCATGGCTGTTGGCAGGTGCCGTGGAGGCAGCCTGGGTACCGGATGCAGTCATCACAGTAACGTCCACTGAAGCCCACACGACACCTGGGAACGCAGCATTCGGTTAATATCAGAAAACAAGGGGGAATTAAAACTTTAGAAAACGTTTATTTATGGAAAGTAAAGCCCCATCTAAGTAACTTCTTTGGACTTACTTGCACTCTCCTGGTTTATCACAGAAGCCGTGTTCTTCATCGCACCCAGGGAGGCAGATTGCTGCAAAGAAGAGACAAAGTTAGACAAAGAATCGAAAAATCATATTGTTTGTTCTTCACCGGTCTCCACCGATGGAGTTTGTTTAAATCTTTGAATTCTTAATTTGTGAGTCTTTCCTGTTTGTCTGATGGCTGCCTGTTTGCCCTTTTCTATTTTTATATTTACTTTAGTCCATCAAAAATAATCACTGATCAATTGGTTCTTGGCCGCCTGAAAGTTTATTTCCTCAGCTGTAAATGTTGCTGAAATGTTACTTTTCAGACGTTGGCAGATTTGGTCACCAAACAGAAGAATGAGTCAGAAAGCCTTCTCTTTTACCGTGGTTGCTCTACAACACAAAGCCCCCCACACAAAGCCTCCTTTCTCCATTTGACTGTGGGTCAGAAGTCCTTTTTCGTACCACTTGCTTCTCTCTCTCTCTCTCTTTCGTCCTCCATCCTACTATCCCCTCCCCGTCTCACAATCTCTTCTTCTTCATCTTCATCTTCCTCTCCCTCCTCCTGTCTCTCCGCTTCCCCCTCCTCCCCCTCCTCCTCCTCCTACCCCCAGGGCCAGCTGGTCTGTGAGGAGCTAACCACCAGACAGCTGCTCCATTGTCTCCTCTCACTGAGCAGCTGCCCCCTCCACAACAATACACAGCCCCGCTCGGCCAATCACCAGACCGAGCCACAACAATACGGGACCCCCACTCGGCCAATCGGGGAGGAGGTTTGGGGCGAGGAGGCCCCAGTGGTCTAATGGAAGGCACGCGGCGTGTGAATTACTGAGGAGCCACTGCGGCTCATTAGAATGGAGGCCTCTGGTGCTATGGGATAACTAACTGACGCCTGTTGCACACGGGCCCCGCATTATGAGGTGGAAAAAGTCTCGAACAATAAAGAGAGGCAAATGACTGGAGGGGAAATTAACTTTGAGAAGTAGTTTTATAAACTGGGTAGAAACCAGAAACTCTACAAGTCTGTAGKTTTGACAGTTTTGAAGATGGCAGTTAATGAGGAGAAACTAATGTGCTAATTGTTACATTATTGAGTTTTTTTAAGACTTTGTGTAAATATCAGCTGCTACTACTAATGAAATTTCTTTCCTTCTCTTCATCAATGACAAGCAGCTGTCACCAGAAACAAGCTTTACCACTAAGGTTCCTTCCTTTTACCTCATATTTATGGCTTTTCTTTAATTGTTTCACACAGACACACAATTAATTAGCCACTCACGCTCAGTGCAGTACTGCCCCTTCCAGCCAGAGTTGCATATGATCTCTCCTCGCTCTCCACAGGTGAAATGTCCAAAAGCATCGTCTCGGGGTCGACAGAAGACGGAGCAGCCGTCTCCGTAATAGTGCTCGTCACACAGGAAGCGGTAAGAGAAGTGCAGCTCTGTCCTGCCGGCTGTTTGCGTGTCCTTGGTCCATTCTTCCCCCACGGTGAGGTGGCGCTGAGTGGTGAACCTGCTGATCAAACGCTCCGGGTTGTCTGTGTGAGGAAATCACAGTTTGTTATGGGTCATTTATCGCCACAAATCACCAGTTTGTTCACGTCAAATAAATGTGATTGTGATGATAGTAAGTGCTGCTGTCTGAATTAAAATGATGCTYTTGTGTGATTAGTTGAATCCTGGAGGCCACATCTAAAAACACATTTATTGATCAGAACGTTTTCACATCTAATTTCAACACATTCTCTTTTTTTGTCGCAGTCATGAGACAASAGAAAATCTCCTCACTGAGCCAGATCTGAGAATTAAAGTGTTCATAATTATTTATTTTTATAGGTCACATAAAGTTCCTTCAGATAGTATTTGCTCCTTGTAGGAACTACAGTAACGTCTGACCTTTTTAAAAGGAAGATGCACATTTGTACAACTAATAAAAGTGTATATTGTCAGTTAAATACAAACGAGAAAGTGTAAATCATGACTCAAGATAAGTGTGTCATCATTACTACTACTGGATGCAGCTCTTAAGAGAAAAACATGGCACCTAGAATAAAGCAAGGCCATCATTAGGCTTCTTGTCTGTYTTTAGGTTACACTGCTGTCTTCTCTTGCTGTCACCCACCTGTCGTCAGGTCGTCCAGGGATTCGGTGCGCAGGGCTTCAATGATCAGTGAAAACGTCCCCTGAGGAGAGATGGAGAGAGTCAACAGCTGCTCAGCTTRGAGGTCCCCCCACCCCACTCCTCCCCACTCTGCAGAGGGCCATTAGGAGACCTCGCAATAAACTTCACAGCCTAATTCTCGTGTTGATTAGAGGCCTAATAAGGCTACCTGCTCCTCTTTCACACCCCTGCTCCTCTCACACTCTGACACCGCCGTAAAACCAAAAACAAGAGAAAAAAATAAATAAAAACGAGGCGGAATTTCACGCAGCGCTGCCAATGATGTGCCAACTCAAAGGATGTTATATTTCCCACCACGGCTGGTCGGGTGGTGGTGGGGGGGTCCTTTGGTGACCGTCCCCTCCCTTTCTTTTTTTCACGCACACACTCACCCTCCTCCCCTCCCTGTTGTATCCCACCAAAGACCACTGAAACACTACAATAGACCCTCTCACACACTACTGACAAAGACCCTCACAAGTGTTGAGTTTGGGGAGCATCTGTTGGGTTTTGTGCTCTTCAAAGCAAACACGTCCCACCGGAATAATAATTATTCCACTGCCTCTGCGCGTGGATGACTGTGTAAACAGCGCAAATAATAACGCAGCAAAAACTTTAGAGTCCCCATTTATTCAACTGTTTATTCGGAAAATATACAACYAAGCAGCTGTTTGAAAAGCAACATTTCTTGTGACAATCACTTACTGGCCACGTGAAGCTGAAGGAAAAGCGGATCGGGTTGGTGAAACTTTCCGCGTTGGTCTCCGGCACCTGGAAGGAGTTGGAGCCGAGGACGGGAGTCACAGCCCCGCCATAAGTGCAGGGGGGCTCCGGGGAGACGCTGGCCTGGTAATGTTTCAGGCAGACCCGAAAGAAGGTCTTACACTCGCACTGCTGGTGGCCCTGTGTGTGCGCGGAGCCACCGGGGCAACAGTTGGCGTTCCCAGCGATCCCCTTCTTATTGAGAAACTCCTGCAGCTTCAGCTCAAACACACCGGAGCCCAAAACCTACATGATGACACAGAATCAGTTTGGTGTTGTTGGAAATATAAGAATGACCCAGTTATATGTATATTATGTATCCAGAAAAACGTGCGTAAAACTCGTCAAAGTTCCCTAAAATGTATTGGACCTTACCTGGCAGGTGAGTGAAGCCAGASTGACAAGCAGGAGCAGACACAGGCGTCCCATTATTGTGCTGACAGCTCTTCAGCGAGCAGTGAGAGCTCCTCGGCTCCTCAAATACKCATGAAGAAAGTTTTAAAAGTTCTCCTTCAAATCGCAGTCGAGGCTTGAAGCACAAAGATGAAGTGAAAGTTTTCCTGGTTTGTCACCTTCTCCTTTAACTTCCCACTGAAACTGTGAGGGTTTTAATTAATATAAAATAATTTCCAGCGGAACAATCTCCTTTTGAAGAAACGTGAAGAAAATCCTTGATGGAAACAATAATTCCAACCTGTCGTCGTTCAGACAACGCTTGAATGTTTTTCCAGTTTTAGTTGTTGAATCTAAAAAAAAAAGGATCTACGTAGAGAAAACAAGTCTCCGTTCCTCTTTGATTCCCTTGGTGTGTCACTATAGTCTGATGGGTTTTCTGCCCTGCGCAGGGTTTTATACCGGGCCAACAGGAGAAGGGTAATAAGATGCAAATGAGCCCCGCTGCTCCTCGTCTTTCCCTCCCTCCATCACCACCACAAGTCCGCCCCGGGGCCATCACAAAGAAACGGGAGGGGGGAGGAGGAGAAGGGAGGGGAGTGCAAAACTTTTTTTCTAACCACCCCCCTCCTCTTTTTTTCTCCCTCTCAAGGGGGACAGACCAAATGGCTAGTGAGCTGTTAAATGTGCAACAACCCTCTTTGCTTCCCCCCCTGATGTCTCCCTCCTCCACAACATGCGGGGCCCATTTTACATTCCGACAAATTCTTCAAACCTCCGCACGAAATCATCAACTCTGTCCGGAGATTTATGCGCAGCAGCCAGCCTGGCGGTGACTTCTCGTATCATGAGGTTATGATGGTAAATTCTTGGCTGACCCGCTCCCTGCGTGGCCAGCCGGCCAGCCAGCCGTCCCCAACTCCGCCAACGACCATCTGCTCAGTTGCATTCCTATGGTGTTACCCTGCCGCTTTTTTTTATGTTTACACCCCCGAAACGAGACGTTCTGTTCATTTCATCCTTCATCTTTATTTCTTGACGTTTAGACGTGTTTTTAGAGCTACGTGTGATCAGTCATTAGATAAATAATGATTATTTCTGAGTGAGAATTTTGATCAAGTAAAAAATAAATAAATACACGCTTTTGGAAAACGTCCTCTTTTACTCTAAAAATGTGGCTCAGTGTGTTATTTTGAACCGATTCAGAGTATCTAGGCTTAAAAGTCAAAGTTTCTTTTTGTGCGTAAAAACGCACTTTTACGCACAAGCGCCACTGGAACTCAGTTTTCCCCCTGCGCGTCTGTATTTACAACTTGTTCTTCGATAGAGGCAGTAATAAATAAAAAAAAAAAGACTTGGTGGTGTGTCACTCGCGTGGCTGTCATTAAGAGACTGTGAGGAGAGGGAGGGGGAGGAGGATGAAGAGGAGGGGACTCGTAGAGGGAGTAAACTTTTTTCTCTTTGTGCTTTCAGCTGTATGGTAATTGGGTCGGCAGCACCTGCTCTCCCACAATAATACAACACCAGAGAATCTCTCCTCTCTCTCTCTCTCTCTCTCTCTCTCTCTCTCTCTCTCTCTCTCTCTCTCTCTCTCTCTCTCTCTC